TATATATATAAATTGTCATGAAAATCCACAGTGGTTGCTTTTTTTCATTGGAAACTTCAGCAATCAGGAATCTGAATAGGTATAGATGCTAACTAATGTATTTTAGATGTCCTGACCTTTCCAAAGTAGGCATCAAAGACTCCTCTGCTCCTGAGCAATGCAAGTTATCTAGGAATACCTGAATGGACCATAAAACTGTAGCTGCAGCACGTAGCACAATTGTTGGTTCCCCATCTTTCACAGAGCTTCATCAAAAGTTTCTCTTGGTGCCTCTAAGACAGAGGATTAGATCCATGAAAGAGAAAATTAGAGCAATGGTCCAGCATAGGGACATGAACACTTATCATCCTTGAGTAATAAACATGAACTAACAAATCTGTTCAATCTCTTATGAGACAGCTGGGTAAGCTTTATTACTTAAGAGAGAGAAATTGGAGAGAGACTATGAGAGAGAAATTGGAGAGAGACTATGAGAGGTTCCTCAGAAGCATAGTAGCAAAATCTTAGATCATTGTTCAGGAATTCCTGGCTCTTGGTCCTGTGCTTACACCACTAATTGTCGCCTTTTCACTCCCCAATAAAATCAACGGAGCTTCTCACCAGACTACCAGAGTCAGTGGATTGAGTCTGAGCAGATGCTTATGTTAATATAATTTTCAAACATTTATACTTCTAGAAAAGCAGGATACACGCAGGTAGAAGCACTACTTGATATTTTTGAAGTGCTAGCTCTGTACAAATTAAGAGAGTCTGTAATTATCATTTGAAGCATTCTTTAAACTTCCAGAGTTATTAAATAACAAATGGGAATCCCAAGCATTACTCAGAACACAGAGAAGAAAGTTCATCTGTAAAGCTGTTATCCCATTGATCCCCACTGTGCACCACAGGCTATGTAGGAGACAGATAGCATACATAATGCAGTGATTAGCCATGGAACAGGTGAAAATAAACTATATTGCCTGCTACGTTACAGGGACCATATTCAACAATTTATAGAACGTCAAACAACCTCAGTGCAAGGTATATTCCCCCCCCCCCCCCCCCCACACAAACCAACCCACCACAC